TAGCAACTGGAAAGAACTGGAAAGGAAGGCTCAGGACAGAGTTGGATGGAGAATGCTGGTGAGCGGTCTATGCTCCTCGACGAGGGGTAACAGGCGTAAGTAAGTAAGTAAGTAATGTAGAGGCTTTTTCCACACTGGTTGTCTTCATCTTCATTTGTTGTTGTGTACAAGATAGGAGAGATAGGTCATCTGGGAAGTCCAAACCGTCTAGTTGCATCCAACCTGTCCACTTTATTCCGTCCTTTCCCTGAAGTGTCTAGGTCTTTATAATCCAGAGTGAGAGTAATCAGATTTATCTGACGCCGGTCTTCACTTGGAATATATCTGTGAGCTGTCCTCCATACATGACTTTGCAGTATAGTTCGGCGCATGAATTCCGTATGATTTTGAAAATCTTCTCAGGTACACCAAAGATTCGAAGAATGCTGCGTAAGATTCTTCTATCCACACTGTTAAAAGTTTTCACACAGTCAAGAAAGTTGGTGTATAGTGACGAGTTCCATTCTACTGATTGTTGAACAATGATCCGTAGTGTCGCGATTTGGTCTGTGCGTGACCGATCCCTACGGAGTCCGGTCTGTTGATCTGGACTTTGTGCATCTACTGAATCTTACATTCGGTTCATCAGCACTCTGTTGAGGAATTTTCCTTGTACTGATCTTAGTGTGATGCATTTTTAGTTCTCACACATGCCTATATCTACTTTCTTTGGTATTTCAATGAGGTAGCCTTCTTTGCAGTTTTTCAGTATTTGTTCTTCTTCATAAATCTTTCTGAATAGAGCGTGAAACATCTTTGCAGTCACTTCTATACGCTAAATCGATTCCCCAGCTGATATGTTTTCTGGTCGTGTTGCATTCCCACTCTTGACTTGTCTGGCGATCATGCCGATCACTTCGACTGTAGTTGGAGTAAAAGCTGTGGGAAGGTCTGTAGGTTTTGATTCGATGCTCAGTAGCCTTGATAGAGCTGATCTATTCAAGAGTTCTTAAGGTGATCTGTCCACCTATTTCGCGCTCCCAGAACTCAGTTATTGACTACTTCACCTCTGTACTTGACTGGTCACTCTATTTTACTGTATATCTTTACCAGGTTCTTCGTTGTATCATATAGTTGTTTCATATTTCCTTCTTTTGAAGCTTTTTCAGCTGTCGTTGCTATCGCTTCTACGTAAATCTGCTTGTCGGTTTTATTGACTGCCTTCACTCTCTTGTCTGTTTGTGTGTATTCACCCAGTGCCTTGACTTTCCCTGTTCTTGTTCGACTGTTGTTAATTACTGTCTTCTTTTTCTTGATTTCTGGAGTCTATTTCAGGGTTTCCATAGAGATATATTCCTTATTATGATGCTTCTCGTGGCCCATGACCTCGTGGTACATTAGAGTTAGTGCTTTTTGCATCCCTTTAAAGTGGTCCTCTTTAGTAGTTTCTTTTTCTTTCAGTAGATCCTATAGGGCTCGGAACCTGTTGTTAAGAGCTATCTTGAATCCGCTGAGTTTGTCAATATGTTAAAAGAAGTCTGTATTGAACCTTTGTAATGCTGTTTGTCTACTGCTTCTATAGCTTCAGTTTCATCTTGTCAACTATCACGTGGTGATTCGAAGCTATGTCAGTTCACCTCTTGGTTCTCACGTCTTCCATTGTCCTTTCGAATTATTTATTGATGCAAATATGACCTATTTGGTTCTCTTTAGTGTTATCCCGTGAGATAAATGTAACTTTGTGTGCGCATTTGAGAGAGAATATGGTGTTTCCTACGACCATTTCGTTGAATAAACACAAATTTGCTAAGCTATCACCACTCTAGCTCCTTTCTCCCAGTCCATGTCGTCCCATGATATTTTTCTTCATGACCCGAGTACAACGACATCCCTCTCGAAGTTTATATTTCCTGTCCAGGTTTAATTCGATAGATTTCACTAATTTCGAGAATCTCCAAGTTGAATCTCCTCATCTCTGTAGCTAATTGATTAGTCCCCCCTATCTTTCACATTGTCCGGATATTCCATGTACCTATAAAAATTGTTGCCCTGGTTGTTCCTGTTGGTTGTGTATTTAATGTGAGGCATTTAAATTGACTCAATGAGAATTAGAATGACCCAGTTCTACCACTCGTATTCTTTCACACCAATAGCTTCAAATGCAGACTTGACAACAATCATAAGATGAGTCAGATATGGTATTCCAAAACTGGCATGTGATTCTCTGCACCACCAAAGTAACCTTACGTTGAATTGATAACATGCGAAACTAACTGCCCTTTATGTTTCCACACCATGAAGGACAGGTGGCATCGAATCACGCAGAATTACGACTAGTAACGAAGAAAATAAGACTCCACATGTATTGATCAGCTACGCCATGTTCCAGACGCTTTCCGCGCACTGGTGCATTAGCTTTGGTTATACATGAGCCCGATTATTTTTCAAGAGTTATTCAACATTCAATGGTTTGTCTTGAAGGATCATCTGGACTAAGTATGACGATTAAAAGTGTTTTTAAAATGATTTTCTTACTAACGGCTCTCAAAATAGTGTGGTTGAAGGCAGGTAGACCTTTCGTAGAATGTGGATACCTAGTTACTCGATAGTATATGACATCGGCAGACTTTATCCTTTTTTCATCATACAACTTTTTTCTTGTCTAAACAATTTCGCTATAGTTTTCCTTGAGTAGCTTTTCATAATTCTTCACTGAAAGACTTTATCTGCTCCCATTTCCAAGTCTTTGATTTTTGTAGGAGTATTTTAACTGATGTTTGTTTTCAAGGGCTAGAAATTTTATACTTCAGCAGAATGAATAAGATTCTGAGTCGAACGTAGTTTTTCGTACGTCAACTCCGTATTTAACAAGTTATCGAGCATTTCTGTCATATCCCGTGGAGATTTGTGAATGGCAAGTTTGAGAACTATCTATAGACAAATATTGTATGTATATTTCCAATTGTATAATTGTTAAGTAACCAAACTATTCATATTCTTGTCCCTCTCATTATAAGCTTTATTTTTACCTATAGACAATTATTATACGATTTACCATTCTTGACTTACCCCTAGTTCATTAATTTTTGTTGCCCCTATTCACATCCACATTTGACCAAATTTTGTACAAATGTTATTTTCTATTTTATTGGTACGATGTGGTCTGTTTGATTGGTATATAAACCCAGTATGTTTGATAATAATGATTCACATTGCAGAGGCTATTATTGGTGTTCTGGACTTAACTGGCTGGGCTAGGTAGATGGCAGGACTGATAAGTACTCAAGACTGATCATACGGCTTTTGTATATCATTGCTGTAATTGATAATCCACTGCTCTCTGATTGGCGGGCATCATCACGGTCATATATTAAACAGGGCACTCTCAATCGATACATCAACTGGACAAGAACGCACTCAATCTGTATAACAATTTCATTAGAACCATTTTCAGTGGTCAATAAGGAAAACTCTCCTCGAAACATTCTCAAATTCTCTAGACCCAGGATAGGTAATCCACATTCAGTGGTGAGAATTTCACAATTTACAATTGGATATTTATCATCTCTAATCAGTAAATTCCAGCATTCGAGAATAAGAAGTTTATGACTCATAACACTAGAAATCGAAACTTTGTTAAATCTGATTCGAGCATGACGTAATAATGACTTCGACTTTTCAATCGAATTGACAGATTTGATACCTATCGCGGTGACGGTTTGTGGAGGTGGTAGTAACTTTAGTAGTTGAATTCATGAGTCGACCTGACCTAGACCTCCATTGAAAAGCTGAAAGCACTAAACGTAAGTGAAACTCAATACAGGATAAACGCTTACCAAACTTGTGCTCAGCCCTGTGACCTGCTTTGCAATCCCTCAATAAATTGTTATACAAATGACATTGAGTATGCATTGGATTGGCATAAATAAACAGTCTGGTGTAATTTCGAATGTTCTGGAAGTCAATTCAGTTCACTGCCTTGATAAGGCCTCTCACTATTTCAATGTAACTTCAAAGCTTTAGATTTAGTTATAAGTTTGTGTTGTAGTGGTAAATAAATCTCCAAAATCAATAGCTCCACAGTTCTTATAAATTCGATGATGACTACATTAGTGGACTCACCAAACTAAAGGGGTTCGGTCACGCATCCACATTAGATCACGAATGGGTGTCCCGTGCTACTCATCACTTTCAACCACTAGCCAACTTAGACCAAACAATCTTGCGACATGCCGATAGCTTACCAAATATGTCTTCGAATTCCCTTATTTCTTACTTTTGATTTGACTGGGTTGGCATACTTCGATCATAAAGGTATTACTGGTAAAGGCGCTTTCAGACTCTGAATACTTGTGGCTTCTTTAGGGCACTGGAATGATGTTTTTTCTGCAGCAGAATCCAGATTATAAGGGTTAACAGTGCCTTCTCAGTATTAACACATTAGAATGATGAAACCACATATGGAAAAACCTAATGTCCATTTCTCTCACATTCTCCGTACATGAAGTCATCAAGAATTTTTTACCAATGAAAGCAAAGTGCATGGTTCAATGAACTGGTAAAATAGAATTTTTCAAAGATATTTAGGTACCCAGGATGAGTAGACAGATCTATGGTAGTTAAAGGCAAATGCTTCCAGGGGTGTAGTTATGCAAATCCCAGTAATCAAATACTTTCTTATAATATACGAAGTAGTAATTTTCTTATGAAAAAACTCAATCTCTTCGCTTCATTGAGAAATAATCGTATAGGAAAGCACTTCCAAGGAATTTTAGAAACCTAGCTTATTTCCTTTACGTTCAGAGTTTCATGTCTTCAATGGAATCATGAATTAATAAAATTATCTATCTGAACATGTAATCTTCAAAACACTTGGTCGAAGCATTCGTAGTGAGATTGAATACCCAAAGTTCTACCAATCTTGAGAATTGAAACTGGCTATTTTTATTTGTAGCCCTTACCCTTGAAATTGAGAACTGATTGATTATTGTATGTGATCGCGGGTCTTCGGATTTATAGGAATGGCGCCTTATAGGAGGAGTAAAAAACCGCCACCTGAAGGATGGGAGTTAATCGAACCAACAATCGAAGAATTGAACAGGAAGATGCGTGAGGCAGAAACTGACCCTCATGAGGGGAAGCGTAAAGTTGAGGCTGAGTGGCCAATATTTCGCATCCATCATAAGAGGTCTCGGTTCATATATGACTTGTATTATAAACGTAAAGCTATTTCTAAAGTAAGTCACACCCATTATCTTCCTAATCAGATCAGGAGCTGTATGAATTCTGCATCAAAGAGAAGATAGCCGATGCAAATCTAATCGCCAAATGGAAGAAACAAGGATATGAAAACTTGTGTTGTTTGAGGTGCATCCAATCTAGAGATACAAATTTTGGAACTAATTGCGTATGTCGAGTACCAAAATCAAAGTTAGAAGAAGGTAAAGTTGTGGAGTGTCAAAGTTGCGGTTGTCGTGGTTGCTCTGGATGATTAATGAGTTTGCATGCACAACTTAACTTTGAACCATTTGAACCATTTGAACTTAATTTTAGTGTTATCTATTTTCTTGGTTCTGTGTATATATATTCAAAAAATAACTGACCTTACCACATCAGCTCACTCTTTAATATGTGGACAGTATTTTCAGATGGTTTTACACTTAATAACAGATGTATCAAATGAAGTTGTTTAACGATATTTGGTCGGCATATTTTGGAGTTTGTTTACTATTCTTTTTCGGTTTTTGTAACGTATGCTTTGTTCTCAATGTTTGTAGCACATCAGCATAGTTATTTTAAGAAGTGCGATTGTATAATATCAGTTGCTGATTGACTTCAAATCCCTTCACTAACCTATTTAAAATGCCTAGCAATCACATGTTAGACACTGATACGATGTTTGAGCGTTTCAGTCACTATTTGAACTGCGTAGACCTACGTTATGAGTTGTCATACATGTAGTCTTAGCATATTATACATCTATAGTTATTCATTGTGTTAAATTAAACTGGTAGGAATCCCAATCACTGACTTGAAAGGCTGTTGGGATGTCTAGGTGAACTCATGGTCGTATAACCCTTCTTTAATTCCAGTTGTAGTTCGTGGATCACCTCCATAAGCGAGTTATTTGCTGGGTGACCCCAATCAATCCAGTGTCTAGTTAATCATTTTCACTTCTGTGACAAGATCAACGTGGTTTATCATAATGCTTCGTAACTAGCAGGTGATGAGTCACTAATTTTCCCACCTTATGGCAGCGAAATGGTATATTATGTTGTCATTCAAAACCAACATAGATTTTGTTGAGTATGGCAATATTTTCAACTACTATTCAGAAAACGTTTCTGTATTTTGATTTCAAACGGTCATATTGTTTACTTATCAACAAGCTTCAATGTCTAGTTTTCAATTAAAATACTTTCGCTAAACAATTGTAAGGTAGCTTATACATTATCTCATCATTTATGCATAACAACTTCAATTTGTGCTTGATTTACGACACAATTCTTGATTGGCAATCTGTTTATTCAAAATTGCCTTCAAATTAGGAAGTTGTGGACATCGAAAGTTCATCTATTTTCGTAATCACATTTCAAAATCAAGTAGTCAAAGACAGGTTTCATAACTACCGCAACATCGTCCAGTCTACTGCTTTGTTTTATCATCTTTTGACTGTTAGTTACATCTCATAAGTCTCATAGTTTCCTTTGTTTGAACCAAAATCTGCCCAGCTGTTGAAACTCCACGGTGGATATTTATTAAAAATTAGAATAAAACTGACTGTTTCATACTCTTTAATCTTTTTCGAGAGGCCTGGTTTGTGCTTTTTCTCCGCAAACATGGAAAAATTAAGCCCATGCCAGCATAATAAGAAAACGTGGATTACCTTTAGTATCAAGATCTTAAATGTACTACTCACTATCCCTGCTCTAATTACCTTAGGTAACTGCCTGTATTCTACATAACAGTTCTGCTTAATTGGTCGATCTTTATACTATAAACTGATTGTATTTAGATGTTTGGACATGATCCCGATCTTTTCTTATGTCTGTACAATACATACATGACCTGTTCGGAAACCAGCCTGCTCCTCTCTAGTCAGTCATAAGTTTTAGATAATCTGCGGAGGATGCTGCTAGCCTATTATTTGGAAGTAATCTCATCCCCTTATAGCTGTCACATAGATGACTGAGGCCATTCCCAAAATCGCCTTAATCTACGTTACCAGGACGCTTTCTGTTCTCCGAAGAACTCAGTTTCCGGTGTGGGAGTTCTCCAGTATCCTTAAGAAGAGCTACAGGTTAGGTTATCTGGGCCTGGTGACCGAGCTTTGCTAGTGGAAGTTCCCATTGATGGGTCAGTGATCATTGGCCAGAAAAGACATGACAATCTGGTTGACGTTTTGGAGACTACAGACCAACTGAAATGTCCCACGAAAAACAATCTAATTTCCGAGGCTCCTCTGAAATTTACTAAACCCCTTTGATGGGTTAGTATCTCTACATGGATTAAAAATTTCCCTGGCTTTTACCAATTATCGTCGATTGTGGTGTTTATGAGGCAACGGAAAGGCGATAAAGTCACAGTTTCCGTTCTTCATTGCTTTATAGCTTTAAAATATAGCATATGAGAATAGAAGTCATGCGTAATATACCGTTTCTTTATCAACTGGGTCTTCGAGACATTGGTTGCGTATCACTAAATAGTGTAGTAAATAATCCTGTCGTTAGGTGTGGGGTGCAAGGCAGTTATTGTAAATTAGTTGCTAAGGCTGCAATTTCTGATCGACTGGGAGGTGTTAAGTATGATCAACCACCACCTACAACGGTTTGGAATGTTGACTGGCTGAGGTATAGAGTTGCCTCAAAAAAAGATATGGTATTATTCTGTGAAAATATTAAAATTGGACTTGATCTATGCTTAAGGATGCAGACTACGTGATCGAGTTCATATCATCAGTTATTAGAGAAGTTGAATGATATGACTCAGAACCACAGTGGCCCAGATATAACTTCCTGTTATAACTGGGGATTTGACCATACCACGTCCTTACAGTAGCATTTATCCAGTCGTTCAACTAACATCCAAGTATCGACAATAAGAGTATAATAACAAATTTATAGAGTAGGTTGGACAATCGTAGCCCATATTGTCTGAACATATCACTTCCCTTGAGTTTTGAGCTTCAGTATTAATTCATACGTCTTGTTTAATTCCCCCCTCCCGTGTTCCTTAATATTCTCTGACTATTGTCAATACTACCATTATTTCTCTTCTTTTTAATTTAATCTCGTTTTGATGGTATGGAATATTGACTTGAGCTAACCCGCATTTGTGCCAGGCTCAGTGATGCATCAAGTCACTTATATGTCATCTAGCTGCTGTAGTAACTCCTACTATTGAGTTAAATCCTACCAGACAATCTCTAGTTCCGTCAACCGATTCCACTGTCTAGCAAGTTACCTCCCTTTTAGTAGTAAATTGAGTTATAATTTATCACCATTTCGAACGATCATTAATGCTGCTTTTGCGGTCAATTTAGTCTTTCTACTACACTATATGCGACAGAATGATAAACAGCTGTTTGAACTTGCTTAAATCCTACAAGTTTAACTGTCAACCACCGTTTACAGTAATTATCGTACGTACATTAGAATTGCAGATTTGGTGTTCTTTACAACTACTGCAGAAATTTATATTAGAAACATCACAACCAACTACCTGTTAAATTATTCGACAAAAGAATAAGCAACTTATTCCAAGTCGTGAAAAGTTGGAAATTAAACTTCCTATTTAGTAGGATATTGCAAATGTATCATTATTTTAGCATTATAAACAATTGCTAGGAATGCGCAATCTCCAATTACAACTTACGAAAAGCAAATCAATACTGACGGGGTTGTTATTGCGTCACAGTAAATTATTCAGTGTGAACGCTGTCCATGGAATTTCAAGATGTTTATAGTAATGATAATCACTCGGTTTGAATGTGCTAGTCATTTTTATTGATCTATGATCGATAAGCTTAATGCACTTGGATTGATTATACTGGGTTAACATCAAAAAGCTTCATCCACTAAACTGATGCTTTTACTCAAGTTAGTGGGGTAGGAAAAAGTGGATGATAGAAGTAATCTTCTCTACAGTCTGAGCAATGAAGTTATTAGCATAGTGCACGAACGTATGAAGAGTTCAGCGAATGCTCAATTGACAATAAAACCGTTGGTGAAAGGTAGGGATCTAATTATATCAAAATGCATTAATTAAGTCTATAGACCTATACAGAGGATTTAACTGCAGAAAGAATGACGTTAATTAAAGAGACCAGGTCGAAAACTGGAGTTTGCTTGACGTTATAGACGAATTTCAAAGAGGAAACTAAGTAAAAAATTTATACATTTTGTAAGGCTAAATTTACATAAGTTAAAGTGTTTTGCTACACGTAACTATAATTTCGTATGTATTGAGTTCTCTTCTGCGCCATTAAGAATAAGACTACAAACTTCGTTTCTGTATTCATCGTACGACCGATAAACCAAATTAGTGGTATCTTCACATTGTCTAATCATTATATCAGCAAGATACAAACCAAAGTGTATTATAAATAATAAATCTACATAAGCATGTTTTCGAATAAGAAAGGGGATGACAAATATGTAGTTAATAGATATGAAAGTAACTGGTTAGTAAAAAAAACATCGCTTAACTATTACTGTAATAGCATTTCATTAAATTATTGTCTGGTAAGCATTCACCAAAGGGGATGGTTATCCACATAGTATATTTCTGTTTCCCTTACCCCATTTCAACAGTATGAAGTACGACATTTTATGCAAATTAATGAGTGAATAGTTGAATTTTTTAAATTGGTGTTATAAGCTTATGGATGAAATTTTACTTGATTAACTTGCTGAATACTATGATCATTTATTACAGGTGAGATTTGTTTGCATTATAATGAAGTTGAAATATCTCATTTGGCTCACAAACCTTTAGTTCTTTATTTTTCGATTTGTCTACAGATATATTTAAGAACAATTTAGTAAATATTCTCTGTATTCCACTTCAATATGATGCCATATAGCGATTAACTTTAAATTTTTTAGAACTTTCGATTGAGTAGATAAGTAAACAAAGCGTGAAAAACTACTGCTCCTTGTTCCACTTATTCACACTACATGGAAGATCCATATACGTAGAAAAAAACAAGTAAACACAGGGTTTAAGTTGTTGACGCTACTCTCTGTCCATAAACTGAAAACATTTTTAATGGAGATTAACTATTTGTGGGTCACTGATTTATTCCAGCAAGATACTTCGGATCAGATGGCCAGACACTATCAGCAACAAGTTACTGTGGGAGACAACAAACCAGATTTCAGCAGAGGAAGAAATCAGGAAGAAGCGCTGGAAGTGGATTGGGCACACCTTGAGGAAATCATCTAATTGCGTCACAAGACAAGCCCTCACATGGAATCCTGAAGGTCAAAGGAGAGGAGGAAGACCAAAGAACACATTACGCCGAGAAATAGAGACACATGAGAAGAATGAACAAGAACTGGATAGAACTAGAAAAGAAGGCCCAGAACAGAGTGGGTTGGAGAAAGCTGGTCGGCGGCCTATGCTCCATTGGGAGTAACAGGCGAAAGTAAGTAAGTATATTAAAAGTCGTACATACGTAGTTACGCACAAAACAATGGATTTTGTAATTTCGCTAAAGCAAAGTTATCTTCGTGAAAAAATTGAACAACAGAGCTACTTTTTTGAAAATTCTAATAAGTGTTTTAACAAATAGTAAGCTTAAGAAGAAATCTGAGTCGTATTTATGTTCACTGTAGTAGTCTTTGATATCGACACTCTAGAAATTTGAGATAATTTGAAATTTCATGTTGAATGTCTTCTTTTTCTGTATTGGATAAATGTTGATCTGTGTTTAGTGTTTGGTAAGCTTTTGATATGATTTGTAATTGTCTGAACAATTCATGTTCCAAGCGATCGTTTACTGTTAAATAACCATTTTTCTTGGTATTTTTCCATTTTAAGTTTGATATATCATGTTTCAAATCCGTCATAGTAGTACAATGCGAGGATTCAGTTTGAATGGATACATCTAAATCAGTGTGGTTATTTTGGGTCTTCAATACCTATCAGTACATAAATGAACAATATTTAGGTTCTTCGTTCAATATTTCAGTGCTTTGTATTGAATTAAGATGATATCGCTCTTCAAATTTTGTTTATGAGTGCATAATTTTGTCTGGTAATACAGTAATCAACTATTCACCCAGTATGTTCGTTGGATGTATAATGAGACTTTTGTATTCCTAATTTTATCCTAATCAGGTACTGATTTGATAAAAGTAAAACTCACACTCAATTTTATGTTTGCTCAACTTAATATTGATACTTGTTTGTTAGAGATTTTACCATATAAAGCAGCTCATTATATACAAGGATCTTATTTCAAGAAAACCCTCCTAACTAACATACAGTTGGAGAAATACTTACTTGTCTTTGCAAATTTTGGAAATTGAAGCTGATATTTTTATCACGTTGTTTTAAATCTCCAATATCACTCATTGTTCTAGTTCTGTTGTTGGTTTTTCCATCATCATTGTCGATATTTTCTTCTTCAATGTATGAATTCAGAAGTTCTTCAGCTCGATCCAGTATCTCTTGAGGAAGTGCAGTAAGCCTGGCCAATTTAATACCTGATTTTAGGAAAAAAACTTCCGACTGAAGTAGTAACATTAGTGATTATTATGTTAATCTAAAATGCATAGAACTTAACATTACAATCAATGATTTCCAATGATTAAAGATTCTTTGATTGTATGTATTTATACACCTAGAATTTACCTAAATTGTTGAATAGTTCTCAAGCACCAAATATGACTAATTTTCTACGTGTTTGAGAGAAAAGTCAATTTCACACTGTACATAACATTGGCTGTAAAAGGAACCCAAGAAGCTACTTGTTCTTTTGTAATAAGCAGGATACTGGTAGGTCCTGGGTTCGAGTCTCGCGAGTGCGGGATCGTGGATGCGCACTGCTGAAGAGTCCCATAATAGGACGAAACGGCCGTTTAGTGCTTCCAGGTTTTCCATGGTGGTCTAGCTTCAATTGACTCATGCTTTCAACTATGAAAATACTAAATCTCCACAAAACCCCTTCTGATAATAAAATTTATCGTTTTCTCATATAAATGTTCCTAATTTATACATTTAAATAAAGAGAGTACAGCGATTGTAGTATAATAATATGAATTCGTCCATTTCATGGATCTTTTTCAGCTGCTTAGGACTTAGAAACAATAGTATTGATCATTAAAAACAAAACTGTTCATAAATTATGTAAGAATAGTATTGATTAAATTAGAGTGTAACATGTGGTTGAAGACAGCGACTGTAGAGGGGTTAAGTTGTTCAAACGGTTGTTTATCTATAGGCTAAATACATAAATATTCTTCAAGAGAAAACTAAGAAGAACTCGGAGACAGAATTACTATAAATAAACTATCAGCATCATAGATCATGAACGGAATTGACTATCTGAGTAAAATTCAGATGATAAAATAAGGGATTATAATCAAGGTCAGGAAAGGATGCTACGTAAAAAACCCTTGGGATTGAAGTCAACAAGGCAAAGGAAGATTGATGACTGAGTCTTTACTGATGTAAAGTGTGCATACTTGTCTGATGACTAGTACTAGTGAATGTAGAAAGTGTATCTAAATAATCTCAGAGATTAAAATTTAAATAATTCCAATGTTTTGTCTAACAAACTGGTCTGTATGTTTTCAGGAGGAATATAATTTGTATAAATTTCAATCGTTAAAATTATTTGAAATATAATTTCTACATTCACTGTCTTCTACATATTCGGCAACGATTTTCTGTCTAAATATTTGAACGGGTGTTCATATATATTAGTGCTATTGTTTCTAGGTTGTAATGAGCTGAAAAGTATTCACGAAATAGTTGAAAGCATGAGTCAGTTGAAGCTAGACCACCAAGAAAAACCTGAAAGCACTGAACGGCCGTTTCGTCCTATTGTGGGACTTCTCAGCAGTGCGTATCCACGACCTGGTCTCGCGAAATGCGAACCCAGAACCTTCCAGTCTCGCGCCAGAACACTTAACGGTGGATGCGCACTGCTGAGGAGTCTCACAATAGTACGAAACGGTCGTCCAGTGATTCCACGTTTTCCCTGGTGGTCTAGCTTCGATTGACTCATGCTTTCAATGATGCAAATACCAAATCTCTATAAAATCCTCTTCTGATTCACAAAATAATTGGATCCATGAGTCATTTTACTACCATCGTTTTCATCTATATTCATCCGATTTCACTTATTCGTTTAACGTCAATTCTGTTCCACTTTCTAATACTCAAAATCAAAGGTATTTAGCCTGCTTTTTTAATCTTATTTTTATTTATCAAGTGATTGGTTCATAGCCAAGATAAAATTGTTGAGTCTGATCTCAGCTTAAGTTTCAATCACTTCTCTATAGTTTTAAATATCTCGGTTTCTGCAAATGACTTTGTTAACTCGTTAATCAGTCATGATCAAATTAGAGCCTGGTACAAATGTCCGTCGTCATAAGTTCTAATAATGCATTAGTATGTGATGAAATTATCAGAATGAATGACAGTGGAATGAATATAATATAGCTTTATTTATAATGAGATTGACTGAACGTTAGTGGAATGGATAAATACATATGAAGGAATAGTGTAAATAAACCTCTGGACTAAGATAAAGAGTAAATGTAGCTGGGGCAGTTTGATCGGTTTTAAACCATGTTAGTCAACTCCTCGAACTATTATGATAATCGCGTACAAACCCCAACCAGGTAGTCCTCATCTATAAACAGTTATTGACTTTTAATGTACTAATTTTAAGGTGGTCGGGAAACAGGTATATTCTCTTTAGTTTGTAGTATTTACTACTAGTTCATGCCTACGTAAATCATCCTAACTTTTTGAAAGACCAATTGATCTAATGTTTTGGAGTCGTTATGTGCAAATGCATTCAACTTTTTCAATTATTCACTTGTAATCTTGACTATTTTTATGACGGTATAGTGCATATATTTGTTCATCCCTTCCTCTATCGGTCTTCCATCTTTAGCATGATTTTTCTGTCTGACTATAAATGTTGGGTCGCGTTTAATAACATTGTAAAAGCTGGGAAACTTTTCTCCATACCATATATCCTATAGTCTGTCCAAGGTAAATTCTTTCAACCCTATTCGTATTTGACTTTTTATTACTATTGTTGTCTAACGGGGTTAGCCTAAGTAATAGTATACGGAGTTGAAAGGAAAATGTATATCCTGTGGTTCATTTGTTGCTACCTATTTATATTGAGCGATAAAAGGTATGCAAGAAAAGAAAAAAAAACTGTCTACCTACCATACATTATTTTAGGTGATATTCCTTTGTTTAGTTTATAAGTAAAGGTGATTTGATCTAGATCTTGTTTGGCTGAATCAGTGGATTCAAAACTTTTTAGATAATGATTCATTTTAAATGTATTTGAATAATTTTCATCTGAGAAACTATGAACTAACGGAGATTCTTCAATGGAATTGCTGTTATTAGCATATGGTGTTTCATAAATATTTCTATTTAATGTACATATATTATGATGCCCATGATGATAGATATTAAAAAATTCTTCTTCTACTGAGAAATAATAACTAGAATAAGAATTGATAAATAAAGTAAATTAGCTGAAAACAACAAAACTAAAGTAAAAGTCAATTCATTGAATTACTAGCACTGAATAAATAATTAGATATTCAAAATTCAAGAATTTTATTTTAACTATATCATCATTGAATCTGTAGGTATCATTACCAAAGTTTTGATTTGATAATTTTGAACAAATTGAGCATTAAGGTAGATTGTTATAAATAAAGAGAAAATATATTTGTAATATCCCAATGAGTAGAAAAGTTAAATTTTCTGACGTTTTGTGACTTAGTCCAAGCTATTTCTTCAGAGCGTAAATAACCAGATTATTGCCGCCGCATGCCCTGATACCGCCGAGAGTGGGGAGAGTCCGCTCTCCCTCCCGAAATGCTTTCACATGGCCACGCATATATAGCCTCTGTCAGGGAAGTCCTACTCACTGCCTTCTCGTGGCATTACTGTTGTTTACGAAAATGAGAGAACAAAAAGCGAATGTCCGGAGCTTTAACACGGAAAGTTTACCTAGGGCAGTTCGTAAACCCTCATTCCAAACCAATGATGCACATGAGTATCCTGAGGGAACAAATGGAGTATGAATCAATCGTTGGTCACCGGCTACCATGGGACTGCATCTCCTTACAATGCTCCACTACCTTGTGGATCAAATCTTTAGGTCAAAGGCTCTGGGTGTGGCCCTCTAAGAAAACTACCTGTTTCGGTTTGGGCACCTGGACAGTATCACAGCCCTCACACAAATCAAATGAGATTTGTGTGGCGCATATATATTTGGTGCCCCTTTCTACCAATATTTATGTGTTTAAATAAATAAATTCAACCACCACTAAATTAGTATGTACTGACTAGACTAATGGATTTTTTCTTTAAACTTTATCAGTAATTACATCTTTCTCTGTTACTATATAATATAAAGACATTGCAACATCTTCATATGTCATAATGAATAGGATATTTTAATGATCATCAATTCATTTCATTTAGTCTCCTCAATTACTATTTCGATAACTATTCTTAAAAACAAAAATATCGTATCATTATCAAAATTATAGTTCACGTTTCTTCGTTATGTGAACTGAATTTCTATTATATAGACATCTAGATTTGATCCTTATGTGTATATTTTCGGATAGTCTAAACTCATTTATTTATTACCCACTAACTAACATAACCTGATACTCTTATAGTCAAACCATTACATAATTTCTAACTGTGCTAATTAATAATGACTTTTCTCAGATCATTTTATGTTCTTGGAAAGTATAGTGGTACTATAGATCAATCTTAACACTTATTTATCATTGTTGAAAGCGTGAGTCAATTGAAGCTAGACCACCATGGAAAACCTGGAAACACTGGACGGCCGTTTCGTCCTATTATGGGACTCCTCAGCAGTGCGCATCCACGAACCTGCTCTCGCGAGCGAGATTTGAACCCAGGACCTACCAGTCTCGAGCCGAAGCCCTTAACCGATAGACCACTGAGCTGGCATCCAACGGTGTTAATGTCTAACTTCAACTGATCCACGAAGTTGAGCAACCATTCACCAATTGTCTTCAGTGAGTTCCTATCTCACAACAGACGTGGTTTTGAACTCCACTGGTCACTGCTTCTCAGTATAGCTCCTAGATATACTTCTCGAAATCACTAGTGAGCATATTATTATATCAATTATAGAAGGGGTTTTGTGGAGATTTAGTATTTATCATTGTTGAAAGCGTGAGTCAATTGAAGCTAGACCACCATGGAAAACCTGGAAGCACTGGACGGCCGATTCGTCCTATTTTGGAATTCTTCAGCAGTGTGCATCCACGATCCTACCTCGCGAGATTAGAACCTACCAATCCCGCGCCATAGCACTTAACAGATAAACCACTGAGCCGGCATCCGATGTTGTTTATGTCTAACTCCAACTAATCCACGAAGTTGAGTGGTCTAGCTTCAACTGACTCACGCTTTCAACTATGAAAATATTAAATCTCCACAAAAAACCCTTTCTGAAAATAAACAACTGTTAGCTATATTTATCATATCATCTACAGAATCCATTTTATGATGTGCAAATACTGAATTATGTATGAGTAAAAGTAATATATTGAAGTATTATAGTCAAAATTAAGATAGTGAATAGCTAAAGATAGTCTAGTTTCAATACATGTTACTTACTTTTCTACATTTGGATAGAATGAAGCTAAAGAGGTCAATTCATAACGATTAGTTGCCAAAAACGTAAAAGCCTACATAACAAACAGCGTCAAACATTTCAGTTATAAGTGATAACAGGAAAAAATAAGAGAAAAGTAAATGAGATGAATCTGACTTTCATACTTTTTGAGTGTTAGTTTAAACTATTCATCCATTTATAATATGATCATGATCAATCTTAAGATTCAGCTTATTAAAGCTCAGTACAATGGATTCCTGTATTGTTAACTTCAACTGACTATTAAAGGATTGTTAAATCATAACAGAACTAGATAACAATTCGGCTGTAATTATGCACTAACACTGTATTTCTGAAAACCAAAAGAGTTAATAATAAATATATTTTTGTTATATCCCAACGAGTAGAAAAGTTGTATTCCTGACATTTCGTAGCTTAATGTAAGTCACTTCATCAGAGTAAATAAATAGTTATTTATTTTTTTCTACTCATTGGAATATAACAAAATTATATTTGTAACTAACTCTCTACCCAATACTCACTTTATTTGGAACTATCAAGTACAACCTTGCTATTAATACCTACAAAAGAATTAAGGTGTTATTATTTAGCGTAGCTGTCTTAGAACTTGATATGACAGGAAAAAATAAGTACTTAAGCTCCATCGAGGTCTGTGTGATCGGGTTGTAATTGCAGGAAAGCGATTGAATCCTCCAGTTGATTATATAGTCCAGATTGTCCATAATAGTAACAATGATATAGTGATAGTATAATAATTACTTACTTACTTACGCCTGTTACCCCTCGTCGAGGAGCATAGACCGCTCACCAGCATTCTCCATCCAAATCTGTCCTGAGCCTTCCTTTCCAGTTCTTTCCAGTTAACATTCATCCTTTTCATATCTGCTTCTATTTCCCGGCGTAGTGCGTTCTTTGGCCTTCCTCTTTTCCGCTTCCCTTCCGGATTCCAAGTTAGGGATTGAGTCGTGATGCACATTGGTGATTTCCTTAATGTGTGTCCGATCCACTTCCAACGTCTTTTCATAATTTCCTCTTCAGCTGGAAGCTGGTTTGTCCTCTCCCATAAAACTCTGTTGCTGATAGTATCCAGCCAATGGATGTTGAGTATTTTGCGAAGACAACTGTTTATAAATACTTGTACCTTCCTGATGATGGCCGTAGTAGTTCTCCACGTTTCAGCTCCATACATTAGGACTGTCTTGACGTTCGTATTAAAGATTCTGACCTTGAAATTGGTTGAGAGTTGTTTTGAGTTCCATATGTTTTTCAATTGTAGAAATGCTGCCCTTGCTTTGCCAATCCTCACCTTTACATCTGCATCCGATCCTCCTTGTTTATCAACGATGCTTCTCAGGTACGTGACTGTTTCAATCTCCTCCAGAGTATTGCCATCAAGTGTGATTGGGTTGGTGTTCTCCATGTTGTATTTGAGAATCTTGCTTTTTCCTTTGTGAATGTTGAGGCCAATTGATGCAGAGGCTGCTGTTACATTTGCTGTCTTCGTCCGTATTTGATCGTGTGTGTGAGATAAGAGGGCTAGGTCATCTACGGAGTCCAAATCATCTAATTGATTCTGAGCTGTCCATTGTATTCCGTATTTCCCTTCAAATGTCGAAGTCTTCATAATCCAGCCAATCACTAGAAGAAAGAGGAATGGGGAGTAGACCGCCTTGTCTGACTCCGGTCCTTACTGGAAATGCATCTGTCAGCTGTCCTCCATGCACGACTTTGCACTGTAGTCCGTCGTATGAGTTTCGGATAATGTTGATAATCTTCTGAGGAACTCCATAGTGTCGAAGAAGTTTCCATAATGTTCTCTTGTCCACGCTGTCAAACGCCTCATAGTCAACGAAGTTTATGTATAGTGATGAGTTCCATTCAATTGATTGTTCAACGATGATCCGTAGTGTCGCAATCTGGTCTGTGCACGACCCATCCTTACGGAATCCAGCCTGTTGATCTCGAGGTTAGGCGTCTACTGCGTCTTTCATCCGATTCAGCAACACTCTGTTGAAAACTTTTCCTGGTACTGACAACAAACCGATGCCTCTGTAATTCTCACATTTACTCAGATCTTCTTTCTTTGTGGACAACAGTTTGTTTATCACAAAAGTGCATACGGATAAGAGAATACATAGATTCAACAATTGAAATACTCAATGATTACACAATAATAATGTGGATAAAACCTATTAGTCGAATAGTCCTGAAAGCTGAGCTTGCCTCATATTTACCTCGTTATAGTAAAATTGTCAATAATAATTATTTCGTAGAATTATTAAAAAATAAAAAAATATGGCGGAAACTAAACACAAGTAAATGCACTCCAGTGACATTACAAAGTTAGATATGTGAACAGTTTTTAACACGTAGATCCATCGACAAAACAATACTTAAGGTTATTAAATTCTATAACTGTAAAATCTATGAAGAGAATATATTTTTGATTACAGTCCCATTCCAGAAATAATCGTTGAATTTAATTAAAAATGGGTCTATTACGTTTACTAGATATAGAGCAATAAGTATGTTGGGAAACATTTTTACATTCTGAACTCACTTTATGTTCCAGTAAAGCTTCACAGATTGCCCAATTGAGATATTCCACTTCATCAGGATCAGTATCTCAAAGAAAAAGGAATTTTAAGTTTGGCGATCAGTGAATATATTCGGAATAAGATGGAATTTCTGGAATTCGTTTTTCAAAGTATAGAATAATCTCATACGTATAAATTCCTTACTAAGTTAAAATCATCAGTAAGAAAATGTCTATTATCTGAAGCCCAAAATCATATTAAATAGTAGTGACATTGGATCATCTATTGTTGAGCTATCCAAATCAAAAGTATTTTCAGAAGTAACTATTTACTCTGAAAACCGATCAAGTCAAATATTGTGTTCATGGCGTCCAATTTTTGCTTTACTAACAGGAATCTCATAGATGACTAAACGTAATCAAAACATAAAAAGTCATGTTTTTCATTTACGTAAAGTAAATAGCAATTGGTAAGTAATGATAATATTAAGTCTCCCACAATTTAACAATAAGTAATACTTCGATTCATTTGTACAAAAACTATATAATTCAAATGGGTGTGTGTTTCAGTCAAATCGAGATGATCACTTTGACTATACGATTCTATAAATATAACCTGATTTCAAACATGAATAGTCCACCTTAATCTTGTATAGCTTCAATCACAACAGTCATAGTTGATAATATCAGAAAGTCAAGAATGAAGATGAATGGTTGGATTTATTTCCAACATAACAGAGGTGCAGGCGGAGAAATGAAATAAACGCGTAAAGTACACAACTACAAATAAATGAGCAGAAATATTTTGTCAAGAACTTATGTGGATAAACTACCACAAGTCATTTAAAAGACTAATTGCCCACCATCAGTGTACGCCCCTCCTTCATACATACCACCACCTACACAGGCTCTGGGGCATGCACTCAGCTCTGCGTTCGCACCACGTCCAATAGTCACTCCTGTAAGCGGTTTTATGGCTCCACCTTCCATGCTTCCTGTAGCTTCGCCCACTGGTAGTCTCGTAAACAACTGGGTCAGTGGAACACACCATATGATACATCTTCCTCACACAGCTTCGCTTCGGAAACAACAAGACACTGTTTTGATTCCTAGTCAAAACAGATCCTCCGCGATGACATTTTACGATTCTGAGGGAAAAGCGAGAACGTGAGGAATAAGAGGAAGGCGGAACTCTAAAAGGATTAGAAAATTCCCATGGTTCTGATGATCCTAATGGTCCAATGACAACTGAATCTGAAGGAGGAAAGCGGAAGAACAATATTCCCTCAACACCCCTAACATATATCCTCATTCCACCTACCTAAGCTTCTGTACATCGAACTCCTGCGACATTTATTAGCCTTTTAATATGATGGGGATATTTAAACGACAAGTCATTTAGTTTAACAACTGTAAAGCATACATTTAATTAGTAACTGTAAATTATCTAATTATTAAACTGAGAAGTTACTAACTGGAAACATTACGTTTCAACATCTTATTACTAATAATACCATCAAAAATCTAAAAACCATCATCTTTATCTCCTAAGAATAATCAGAGTTGACCGAGCGAGAATAAATAGAAACTATTTGAAACAGTTTTAAGATCGTTTTCATATTATGATATTATCGAACTATGCTTAAATTTTACTAATTAACTATAGACTCATTAACTTTGGCTTATCGTTTTCTCAACATTTTCGATTTCGTCTATTTACAATTCATGTAATTTATTTTTACAAAATCTATGAGTTATCTGAAGCCTCATACTGTGCAAGATCAAATTTCATATAATAACTCATTTATAAAAGAAAAAATTGATCACATATTTTGAAATTTGTTGTCTTAAAAAAAGAAGACATTGGTGAATTTCGTGGATTGGTTGAAGTTAGACATTAACACCGTTGGATGCCGGCTCAGTGGTCTATCGGTTAAGTGCTCGCGCGCGAGACTGGTAGGTCCTGGGTTCGATTCTCACGAGGCGGGGTCGTGGATGCACACTTTTGAGGAGTCCCACAATAAGACAAAAAGGTCTTCCCTGGTGGTCTAGCTTCAATTGACTCATGATTTCAACTATGAAAAATACTGAAATCTCCACAAACCCCCTTCTGATTATAATCATATGCTCACTAGTGACTGACTTCATGATACATGTCCTGGAGTTCTAGTGGGAAGCAGTAACCAGTGGAGTTCAACCACGTCTGTTGTAAGATAACAACCCACTGAAGACAATTGGTGAATGGTTGCTCAAACTTCGTAGATTGGTTGAAGTTAGAAACTAACACCGTTGAATGCCAGCTCAGTGGTCTATCGATTAAGTGCTCTGGCGCGATACTGGTAGATCCTGGGTTTAAATCTCGCGAGGCGGGATCGTGGATGTGCACTGCTGAGGAGTCCTACAATAGGACGAAACGACCCTCCAGTGCTCTCGGGTTTTCCATGGTAGTCTAGCTTCAATTGACACATGATTTCAACCATATAAAAAATTACTAAAATCTCCACAAAACTCCCTTCTGATTCAAAAAAGAAGGCAAGAAATGGACTTTACCATAAATAAGTAAATATATGTATATAAACTTACTGTGACATAAACCATCGATAAGAATAATAGATGATCTGGAGAAATTCTGTAAAATATAAGTTAGTTCTCTTATCTGTAATGTAAAAAAAAGTTTCAACAGTATTTACACGTGAATTAGTATTAGACGTCAATTGGTGGTGCTATATATTTTTTAGCATTTTATACCTTGTATAAATGTACTACATAGTCATTTGAAATTCAGATGTGCACAACATTTTGATACACAAAATTATACTGTGGTATATGCTACTTATGTTGACAGATATAAATAGTATGTAACACCAATCTGATGTAGAATGTTTGCAGCAGAAGATTGAATTAAAGAAAACAGATAGGGAAAAAGAAATTAGATGTATTAACAACAGTATCGAAAGAGTCATGAAGTATGTTAAGGACAATTGGTGGAAGATGTGTCAATCATGTGTTTAGTGTACGATTTTCATACTGTAATTTTGTATTAAACAATAAATTAGTTATCCCCACCATGTCTTCGTTCACTACAATATTATCAACAATGTATTGCATAGCTATTTGTTTAATATCCTAAATTCTGACTTAGGTGTTCAGCAGTAAAATACGGTAAATTGGGAAATAATTAAAAGTTGTAGAATAGCGCATAACACACTACATCATTTCATGATTAATAACGTTTTCAAAACATCTACAATATTGTTAAAAAATAATTTGGATAAATTTTAAAAGAAAATTAATAAAACAAAGTAACTTCCATATATTAATATTTCCACATATCATCGAATTGAAGAACTCATTTGTAAAGTCTGTTATGCCCTTAAATGCCCTTGTACCGCCGAGGGTGAGGAGAGTCAGCTCTCCCTCTCCAAACGCTTTCACAGTCACTGTCAGGAGAGTTCTACTTACTGCCTTCTCGTGGCAGGGGTGTTGTTTATGAAATCGAGAGGATGAAAAGCGAATGTCCAGCGCTTTAGCCGGTTTTATGAACACGGAGGATCCACCTAGGGGAGCTGAAAAACCCTGATTCCAAACCAATGTTGTACATGGGCTACAGTATCCTGAAGAAACGAATGGCATATGAACCAGTTGTTGGTCACCGGCTACTATGGGACTGCATCTCATTACGATGCTCCACTGTCTTGTGGATCGGACCTTTAGATCGAAGGCTCCGGGTATGGCCCTCTAAGAAAACTACCTGCTTCTGTTTAGGCAACCGAGCAGTATCATATCCCACACACAAGTCACTTGACTTGTGTGGTGCATATGTATTCTGTGCCCTTTTGTATCAATATTTATGTGTTCAAATAAATAAATAAAGTCTGTTATGGAATTAGTATTTTAAAAATAAAAGAGCAGTATAAGAAGTTACCATTAAAGATTGGATCATGACTTAATTTATAGAAAACAGTAAGAATGATGTATGCTACCTGACTTTCAAGTCAAAAGTGTTAACTACAATTTAGTTTCATTAAAAAAAAACATAGAATATTGTGAACAGATAGTGAGAAATATGTAAACGTTATTCATTTAAGCTAATAAACTAGGTATTTTTGTCTGAATTCATTAACAGTTGACGAATGTAAATCAAAGCAACTACAGTGTCCATTAAACACTTGAATATCCTTGGTTTGATTTCTTGTAAGACGGTCAGTGAATACAATTAGTGTCTTTTATAGGTCATTTCTTAGGTACAAAACTTAATTTCTAACCCTTTAGTTATAGGCCTAAATTCTGTTTCATCTACATTGGTTTGAATAGTTGAGTTACAACAAAGTTTTGTTGACTTAATTTCTCTTATGGGTTTATTAAAAATACTCATCTTTTTCAAATATTATGCAGCATACCATTAACCTATGAATCATTTACATTGATTAACTTACTTCATTAACAAAACTAGATTCCCCTAAAATTATATCATCTTGTCCTTCTGTATGAAAGAATATTTGATCAGTAAGACGTACTGAAGTGAATTCAGCCGGAACAAATGAACCTATTTGTGCTAAAATTTGTATATATGCAATTTGTCTAAGATAGGTTGTTTTTCCACACTAAAAAACATAAATACACCGACAAAAAAATAAATAGAAGGGGTTTCGTGGAGATTTTAGTAATTTTTTATATAGTTGAATGAGTCAATTGAAGCTAGACCACTATGGAAAACCTGGAAGCACTGGATGGCCGTTCCGTCCTATTGTAGGACTCCTCAGAAGTGCGCATCCACTACCCCACCTCGCGGGATTTGAACTCAGGACCTATCAGTCTCGCGCCAGAGCGCTTAACCACTAGACCACTGAACCGGCATCCAACGGTGTTAATGTTTCACTTCAACCAATCCACGAAATTGAGCAACCATTTACCAATGTCATCAGTGAGTTGATATCTCCCATCAAACCTGGTTGAACTCCACTGGTCCTGGGTTCAAATCTCGCGAGGTGGAATCGTCGATGTGCACTGCTGAGGAGTCTCATAATAGCACGAAACGGCCGTCCAGTGCTTCCAGGTTTTCCCTGGTGGTCTAGCTTCAATTGACTCATGACCTCAACTCTATAAAAAAATAATCGTAAATGGCATATTAAAAAGGGTAATGGTTTTTAAAGTAGTATTCAATATTGATAAAAATGTATATCTTAGATATCCTGTAGTTACTGAGACCAAGTTATTCTAGGTAAATGCTTCCGAAGTTGCTAGACACAAATGTGAAATATCTTAATAATATCAATAGAATTTATTTTTTATAGTATTCAAGTTTATTAATTGCTTCTTCATGCGAACCACCATGACATATAAGACGTAAATTTTAGTCAGTTTAAAGAAATTCTATAGGTTCTATAACAATATTTATAATAAAGTACAGTATCTCAAACATCGTACACTCAACTTCGTTAATGTTGTATCCCGTGGAGATTTATGAATGGTAACTTTGAGAACTATTTATGGACCAATGTGATACATACATTTCCTAGTGTATAATTGTCAAGAAACTGAACTATTCATATTCGTTTTAGTATTCTTTGTTTGAATCTTCCCATCGATGTGTTAGGACTGCAACTGGTCAGTCTCTAATTGGCATATAAGCATACTGTGCGTATTGCCTCGATATACCTTAATTCACATGCATGGTTAGCAGAGATGGATAGTGGCTAGCAGTGGAATCCAGGACGCGCGTTTCGTCCTATTGGGGACTCGTCAGCTGGATGTACCTGCATTAGAGACTGACCAGTTGCAGTCCTGACAAATCGATGGAGAGTTTCAAACAAACAATACTAAGTTGAATTTAAACTTCACCCCATCGCACAAGCAAGTGGCTATCAGGACTCAGTGGCCGAGTGGATAACGCGATGGCGTTTGAAGCGAGGGTACTGGGTTCGAGTCCTAGAGTGAACATCAACTCTGAGATGCAGGTACATCTAGCCGACGAGTCCCAAATAGGACGAAACGCGCGTCCTGGATTCCACTGCTAGCCACAATCCATCTCTGCTAACTATTCATATTCGTGTTGTAGTGAACGAGAACACGGATGGGGAAAATCGAATGTATTTAAGCACAAATTACAGACTATCTCACTAAATTCTGATAACCATAAAGTCAACAGTTAATTTGCAAATTAACAATTAATTGTTACAATCTTTACTGTTCCTTCTGAAAAAAATCAGTTCTTCTTCTCTGATTTCATTGTTCATGCATTTTCATACCGATTGCGCTTCATTCCTGTTCGTTCCTTATCGATCTTCTGCCAAAATACATTCTATGTCTGACCATCACCATATACTACTTATGTGGATGTAAGTAGACTGCACCATAGTGTCCCTCTTATTATAAGCTTTATTTTGACGTTTGACCTATTATTATACGATTTACCATTCTTAATTAATGTTCCCCTGTTCACAGCCACATTTGGTCAAATCTCGTACAAATGTTATTTTCTATTTTATGGTACGATGTGGTCAGTTTGTTTGGTATATAAACCCAGTATGTTTGAGAATAATGATTCATATTGCAAAGGCTGTTATTGTTGTTCTGGACTTAACTGGCTGGGCTAGGCAGAAAGCAGGACTGTTAAGTACTCAAGACTGCTCATACGATTTTTGTGTATCACTGGTTCGATCGATAATTCATTCCAATCTAATTGGCGGTCTTACGACGTCATATAATAACAGGGAACTCAGGCAATCGATATAACAGTTAACGCACAGCTTTTGTATGGATGTTTTAAAATTTGTTTTGGAACGAAAAAAACAGCAATCACTTACCATGGGAGGTCCGGTTATAACATGAAAGTTTAAGGCAGGCGATGCATACTACAATGAAGTATAAAATCAGAATAATATTACAATTAAACTTGTTTGTTACCGTATGATTTGCCACAGATAATGATTTCTCTTCTTCATCAGTAACAATATTCCGTCCATTTTTAATTCCAAGTATATTACTAAATATTGGGCAAACTGTACAAAAGGTAAAAAATATTGACTTAAGTCATAAACAAACCATTTTCTTAGATACATAATTGCACAACACCACTATTTTCGGAAACACTTTATAAACTTGTTTAGTTCATGCTTACCAGATAACAGATAAAGATTATATTAAATTATATTGAAAGATTAATATAAGCAATTCTTATAGAGAGAGCTGAAAGTTAGCAACCGTCATGTTTAAATGTGTCACCAGTTCATGAAGTCATTCATTGTAGGTCTGAGCAAAGTTAGTGTATGCAGACAATCTGGTTCGACTTCGAGCGAGTGGTTGAAGACTTTAGGTTCCATGGCTGATAACTGTTCAAACGGGTTCAGTTGAATTAACTAGTTATTTTACTCTAGATCTTCAGCCCCATTATTCTTTCGTACTTATCCTTTTTACTTTGTTTTTTCTAGCTATATCCTTAATTTAACTCGTTAGTGTTTGAGTTATGCTGTTGTTTATGTCCTCGACTGGGCTTTGAGCAGTCCTAATTGGTAATAGGTATCGTGTGCGGATTACCTCGATATATTCATTTTGTTACAAGTTTATGCAGAACTGGTGGAACAATGTTTTTTTTAATATCTAGATTGACTACAATTACCATGCCAGTTAAGCTGAATAATCATAAAAAGATAGTTCGATCAATTCTTGTTCTCACTTCACTGATTTTTATCAGTAAAAAGGCTTTCTATGGTATGAGTAATGTCCGGAACTATAAACTGCTCGAAGATACCTCATAAAAGTAACAGAATAAGTTTTTAAATTTTGTTACTATTTTCGAAGCTAAATGACAAGCTGACTAAAATAGCAAAGGAAAACATTGGGGCTAGACATCAATATTTAGACAGAAATGTACTTTGTACTTACCGAAATGATTTCTGAGAGAATAAGTTAATGACATTTTGGCAAATGAGGCTAATAGATCCAGACCTGCGACCACTTCTGACAAACGATAAAATAGTGCCATGTCTGGATGTAGTCCAGTAATTAAGTCGCTAATAATTCTGTAATGAATAATAAGAAATAATTAAAATTTCGATCTATGTTCTTTTAATAATGATTACATACAAGATAATTCCTTGAGATGTCCTGAATTTCCTGATAAGTAATTAATACATTAAAACAAGGATATAACCGAGTTCGCTTCTTACGAGCCGTTTCAAATTTATTAGAAGAGTGAGTTAACATGCAATTCATAGTATTTAGGAGTTATCAGGTGAATATACCTGTGTCTCAAAGTTGGTTTTCACATTAGGACTTGAACCCAGTTCCATTATGTTCAAACGCCATTGCATTATCCATCTAGCTACTGGGTTCGGACAGCCACTCACTTGATCAATAGAGATGAATTTTGATTCACTTTACTGGTTATTTAAATCTCCCTATCGATGGTCAGATTGATCAGCTGCAGTCCTAAACATTAACTGAAAGATTCAAACAACCAATACTAAATAATTAGCTAGCGTCTTAATAAACAACATCCCGGTTTTGAGTCTGTAGCATACACTCACTAGATTATTGTAATAATACCAAGTATTTAAGTCATCTTTATCCCACTTCCAACTCTTCCTTACCACTTGTAAAGTAAAGTTGGTGGTTCATGAAAAATTCAATAGCTTTTAATAAAGTATAAATCCTTACAACAACGACTTACTGATCAGCAATATGATATACTTCAAACAGAGATCCTTTAATCCGTTCTGTTTAAAGAATAAAAATAAAAGCCCATTTTGTTAAAATTCAAACTATTTGTAAATATTTTCCAAAGATTTGAAGGATGACAGTTGTATGTAATTATTAGCCTAACTTTTAATCAACACTATCCATTCAAACTTCACACCATTGCACAAGCAAGTGGCTATCAGGACTCAGTAGCTGAGTGGATAACGCGATGACGTTTGAAGCGAAAGGTACTGGGTTCGAGTCCTAGAGTGAACATCAACTCTGAGATGCAGATACATCTAACCGACGAGTCCCAAATAGGACGAAATTCGCATCCTGGATTCCACTGCTAGCTACTATCCAACTATCCATTTTTGATTACACCTTCAAGACGCACTTTAAAATCAAATTAATGTTCTACAGTTCAACTCCATAAAGTTTAAGATTTTAGACCACTCGACTATAAATAAACATCACACGTTTGTATGCCGAAAATGTAGCTCCAAGAGTAAAGCAGTTTGACAGTACCAATAATAATAATAAATAAAATTAACTTACTGAATCAGAAAAGTAAAGTCTTGCAAGACAGTACTATGTATTAAGGAAAGTAAATTTTCTGTATGTTTGTAATAAAAAAACACTTTACAGTAATTCCAGATACTTCAGTTAGAACTAGATTCGACGTTCGTTATTTTTTAACAGTCTTAGTAAATATTCTTTTCGTGTTTTATGTAAACTGTAAGTTTGTTGATCTTAATATTCTTAAGACCATACTTGTTGGGGGATCTTTATGTGAACCAGCTCTATTTCTTTTTCGAACCTTTCAATATAATTGCTTACATAAGCACGGGCACGTTCGTAAACACAACTATTGGTGACGTCAGGTAAATACTTAACTGAGATCAGTTTGATGAATAAGTGGTATAATATTGCCAAAAAATACTTCAGAAGAACTACAGTAAATCTTCGTTTCGGTGTGTTCTATCCCCATTCAATCTATATATATAATTGATTAATAAATCAGAATTAAACACTCTTTGTGCTAAACAGGAGTATTTGCTTCAACTTACTTCCAAGCAAAATAGGGAAATTTATACCGTCGACAAATTACGCTTTCGGTTTTGTTGAATAATATTCATTTAGACATAAAAAGAACATTAACTTGAATTAATTGTTTGGTTAAAACCATTTAATTTGATGAGACTATAGTTCATAGACGATGTTCAAGTGATGCCAAAGTGACCTTAAAAAAATTTATCTAATCACTAGGGTCTAAAGAGGGTTATAAATTAGTTTAAGGAATTGAGATTAGAGTATAAAGTTAAAAGTTAGGGTTAAAGATTAGAGTTGGAGTTTTCATTACGAAATGAAAACCATTATAATGCCGAAATTTTATTTACTCATTTGGATGAATAAATTTCATGCTTAAATTCGAGTTCTGCTATCTTTACTGTCATTAATTCGTTCATAATATATAGTATTCCCAATATGTTAGTCAACCTCCTTCTTCAAGTAATTTTCAAGATAATGGTTTAGTTAAATTTTGTCAACATTATTATCTTACCACATTTCTGCAGTGGTTTACATTTGTGAATAAAAAATATTTTCAAATGTTAGGTAGTTAAAGATAGTAGGTAGAAAACCTTGGACCTCTATTTAGTGGTAATCGATACCTATGAAAATGATGCACCACCAATAGTGAAGGAACGGATACTCCTTGTAGTGTTTGAATATGAATCGACCAACTGTACAGTCGGATACAATACCCCTGACCTGGACTTTTAAATCCAGGTAGAAAAGATCAATTTAAACAATTTATAAAGGAATGCGTTTTATTGAAATAATGTAAAATTTGATAGAATTTAACATTATAAAACATCATAACCTTATTTTTCCGACTTTTTCGAAAGTTCTCTTTCCATATCCTCAATTTGAACTAACTTACCATTTAAACGAATCTAAAAAGAAAAACCACAGAAAATTGATAAAGCCTAAATATTCACTTAATCAACTTAAAACTGATGTCAATAATGTTAAATAAACACATGTAGAATTAAGGCAATATCGAGGCAATACACACAGTATGCACATATTCCGATAAGAGACTGACCAGTTGCACTCCTAAGCATCAATGGGAAGATTCAAACAAGCAATACTAAGTGAGCGTAAACACATATAGAACAATACAGTTTAGGTTTTGTTGGAAAAGAATCGATAAAACTTTAGCATGTTATATGATTCTTCATGATTTGGGGACTCATGAAGTAACATGATCTCAGTAGCAGTTTGCAAAATAATTTGGAATTATTTAGAGAAAGATAGCACTCCAAATTAGAATCTGATAAGTTTATTCTTATTGTCTATAGAGCTTAAGAGGCTTAAATATGTTTGTTCTTGAACTTAGAGCTGTAAAGTTTTTCTGGAATCCGTTTATGAATATAGATACTATATTTGGGTACTCAATCATATATTGACCTTAGAATTTAGATCTAAACCAACAAATGCTAATCTGAATTTAGTACTCCGTATTATGATGAGCGAAGTGATTGCTAATCATACTACACGAGTGAAAAACTTCACAGTTCCGTTCATCTCATGTGACGATACCAATCAATGCTAAGGATCAAGTAATTAAACTTTGATTTCACTATTAACCAACTCTCATCAGTATCCTGATTGTATACATTTTCGTATTACCTATGTGTAACCCGTTTGAAGATGTCTGTATTTATGCAGCCTTTTAAAAGAAAACGTTTTCTCACTTCTGTATTGAAATATGTTATGTTACATTTAACAGGCTACTACAGTTCAATGTAAATGAGAGGTATTTTTCTCCGCTAGAAACTAGCCTCCAATATATATATACATATACTTTCCACGATTTACAAAACACTATGAGAAAATCAAAATGAGGCCACATATCATTCATTCCCAGTCTTAACAGTGTGTTCGAAATTAAATTATTCTGATAAAGGATGTATAAGCTGCATCCTTTCAAGTATTTACGAGACTAAACCATGCTGAAGTCTTTTTCTTAGTTTGAAACTGTTTGGAAAAATTCAAACTATCCGTTGTATTACATATTCAAATTGTTTATCCCGGTTAGCTTTTTTAGCGAGGTTAATTTCTACAGGATGGTTTTGCTGACCCCATGTCCAACGCACCTCCTTCACCCGGGCTTGGGATCTGAAGTAACCCTAAAAGAGCTACAGCCGGAGTTATGGTATTACACATTTTAGTAAAATTATCAAGATTCATCAGTTTCTCTGTTTATTTTTGCATAAATTGATCTGATAAATTTAGGACCCATAATTACTTCTCACTTACAGCTTATAAATCCGGTCATTCAAAGTACACTTCTGTATAATATCATGTGACGGCAAATAACATCGACGAAATTTTATATACTATAATAACAAGAATTCTCTAAGACAACAAATACCAAACTGTAAACAGTAGCATATACATCACGAACAATAATCACATTACTACTTACAAGTGAATCTGTTGTGCAATGTACAACATTTTTTGATATAAATGACTTTTTAAATTCATCTGGGAGATTTTGAATTATAAGATTATTGTTAAGCTCAGATGTTGTCAGAGTCCTATGATGATATTTATTATGAACAGTATTTCGATTAGTTGTATGTAATATTTTATATGCTTGGATATTTCCTTGTTGTTCATCCTCTTCTTCTTCTGTTTCTTCTTCTGCTTCAAGAAAGATATTTTCATTTGAAAAATTAACGTTATTCGACAATGCCGAACTGCTATAACTGAGTTTTGATGACGATGGTTTTAAGTAAGCTTTTAATGATTCTTCAGGTATTTGAATGTAAAATCCACGAGCTTTATTGTGAGATATTCGCAATGGTAGATTATATTGACGTGAAAGTCTGCTAACTTCATCTTTTATGCAGAAAAAAGTAAAAGCAATTATAACAACAAATATAACAAACCAATGTTAATAATTTTATTCAGTGATGAATGATAGTCAGCAGTGGAATTCAAGACGCACGTTTCCTCCCGTCTGAGATTCGTCAGCTGGATTTATCTACATCACAAAGTTCACTGTGAAAATAGAACTCAGAGCCTTTCATTATAAACTTTATCCTGTTATCCACTTAGCTACTGAGTTCAGACAGCCACTGGCTTGTGTAATGGTGTGACTTTGAATTTCAGTTCATATATATCACCTTGGTTATTTGGATCTTCCCATTGACGTCCGGGACTGAACTTGGTCAGTCTCTTTTGGCATATGGTGGTTGTGTGGTTAACCTCTATATTGCCAATAAGTCACAAACATTTCAAGCAGAGATAATGTTGTACGAATGACAATGGTTTTAGATTTGTAATGACTTTTTAAGATGAAATATTGCATTATGACTACAAAAGCTCAATAAAAGTTATTTCATTTCTGTAAGGTTTAATTACATCTTAGTTAAGTCAAAACAATTACTGGTTTCAACCAAAAATACTCTTTTTCGACTATTCTAAGGACAGTACGATTGTATTGGTATCAAATAATCGTAATGATTTTTTAATTTGAAAAATTCGATGAATTTTATTTACCAACCCAATTCATTTCATAAAAAGAAGTAGAATCTTAAATCTTGTTTCAAAAGGTTTTAGACACAAGTAAAGCTAGTGCTTTTGCGAGATCTATTCCTAAAAGACATGATTGACAGATGATTGATGTTAGTAGCTCTGTCCGTATGAACAGTTAAAGAATTAAGATCCATTCCTTCACTTCACTAATCTTAAAAGTATATGGATAAGACAGTATGAAAAAGTAAACTCCATCCCTTATAGCTAGTAATGTGAATAATGGTTATAATCAACGTTTTATCGACAGAAATAATAAACAAATCAGTTGTTCAAACAATAGCGCACCGGTGTAGTAAATACATAATAGTACAAAATGATACGGTGGGGTACGTCCTCAAGAATCGTTAATGAAAACTCATCCGAAGTACTCTAAATTAGTGCGCTTCTGTGTGAAGAAAAAACTGTCAACTGGCGGGATCGTGAATGCTCATTGCTGAGGAGTCTCACAATGGGATGAAACGGCCGTCCAGTGCTTCCAGGTTTTCCACGCTGGTCTAGCTTCAATTGACTCATGATTTCAACTATATAAAAAATTAATAAAATCTCCACAAAACCCCCTCCTAACAATGATGTGTACATCGATGTTTTCTTCGTAGTCAACTATAAATTTTCAGTGAAATAAAAAATTATTAAAATTATATATTGCAAGCACATAGAAACTTCCAAAGTTATTAGATTTGTAAAACATAAATCGAAAAATCTATCCTTTCATTACTGTAGAATTTCATTTTTCTCATAGTAGACTAATCTGACAAGAACAGATACCTTCGTTTTCAATTCAATATTTAAAACACGGTAATTTACATTCACTACTACTACTACTGTGGTGTGGTCTACTAATATCTATATAAGTAGTATATGGTGTGGGTCAGACGTAGAATGTATTTTGGCAGAAAACCGATGAGGAAAGAACTAAAATGAAGCGCAAGCGTCTGGAAAATGCATGAGCAATGGAATAAGAGAAGAAACAGTGAAGATTGAAACAATTGGTTGTTAATTTGCAAATTGACTGTTCTTTGTTTGGTTATCGGAATTTACTGAGATAGTCACAATGGTGATCAATCTCATGCGTTTCAGGTCCTTCTTAGTGATGATCGAATGCTATCGATCGAGTTGCAATGTGACCACCAGTCTAGGTGGCTCGACACTGCTTGCACTATGTATATTGAGGTAAGATGGTGGTTGGATGTGGTCAACAGGAAACCCTGGACCCGGGTTTCGTGCTACTTGGCACTCGTCAGCAAGGTGTACCTGTAATCCTGAGGGAACTGATGCTCCCTGGCGGATTCGATCCCGCGTCACTCAGCTTCACAGTCAGAGACGCTACCACTGTTGACCACCTCCAACCACCATCTTACCTCAATATACATAGTACAAGCAGTGTCGAGCCACCTAGACTGGTGGTCACATTGCAACTCGATTGATAGCATTCGATCAGCACTAAGAAGGACCTGACACGCATGAGATTGATCACCACCCAGTGATCAGTCAATTGTGATTACATCTCAGTCCTACAGGAGGTTGGTCGCGGCCCGAATAGCTCAGTGGTAACGTCTCTGACTGTGAAGCTGAGTGACGCGGGATCGAATCCGCCAGGGAGCATCGGTTCCCTCAGGATTACAGGTGAACCTTGCTGACGAGTGCCAAGTAGCACGAAACCCGGGTCCAGGGTTTCCTGTTGATTATTGAGATAGTCTGTAACTTTTGCTTAAATACATTCGATTGTCCCCAACCAGTGTTCTGTTCACTACACTACTACTACTACTACTACTACTACTACTACTACTACTACTACTACTACTACTACTACTACTACTACTACTACTACTACTACTACTACTACTACTACTACTACTACTACTACTACTACTACTACTACTACTACTACTACTACTACTACTACTACTACTACTACTACTACTACTACTACTACTACTACTACTACTACTACTACTACTACTACTACTACTACTACTACTACTACTACTACTACTACTACTACTACTACTACTACTACTACTACTACTACTACTACTACTACTACTACTACTACTACTACTACTACTACTACTACTACTACTAGTACTACTACTACTACTACTACTACTACTACTACTACTACTACTACTACTACTACTACTACTACTACTACTACTACTACTACTACTACTACTACTACTACTACTACTACTACTACTACTACTACTACTACTACTACTACTACTACTACTACTACTACTACTACTACTACTACTACTACTACTACTACTACTACTACTACTACTACTACTACTACTACTACTACTACTACTACTACTACTACTACTACTACTACTACTACTACTACTACTACTACTACTACTACTACTACTACTACTACTACTACTACTACTACTACTACTACTACTACTACTACTACTACTACTACTACTACTACTACTACTACTACTACTACTACTACTACTACTACTACTACTACTACTACTACTACTACTACTACTACTACTACTACTACTACTACTACTACTACTACTACCACTACTACTACTACTACTACTACTACTACTACTACTACTACTACTACTACTACTACTACTACTACTACTACTACTACTACTACTACTACTACTACTACTACTACTACTACTACTACTACTACTACTACTACTACTACTACTACTACTACTACTACTACTACTACTACTACTACTACTACTACTACTACTACTACTACTACTACTACTACTACTACTACTACTACTACTACTACTACTACTACTACTACTACTACTACTACTACTACTACTACTACTACTACTACTACTACTACTACTACTACTACTACTACTACTACTACTACTACTACTACTACTACTACTACTACTACTACTACTACTACTACTACTACTACTACTACTACTACTACTACTACTACTACTTTAAAAATGTTCGATAGAATCTATTTTACAGTGATTATCGATGTGAAATTATCGTCCACTTGTAGCCTCTAAATTTCAATGAAATTATAATTTAAACTAGATAAGCCACACATAGGTAATACATAAAACTTACTTGTAATATCATCAAGCTGTTCTGAGTAAGCTTTACGTGTAACATCTAATACCACACTTAATCCTTCCTAAATTAAATAAAATTAATTAGAATTGGAATTTGTGATAATATCAAGGGAATTATGTTAAATACCTTGATTGCAAAACATTTCTGTGTTCTCATAGCTAACATCCCTCTTGACATTCGTACATCTTTATGTAGTACAGTGCATAAAATTTGTAAAACATGTTCATATTCTGAATCATGTAAAAGCTAGAAACAAAAGAAATATATACAAATTACACTATGTTTAAATTTCAAGAGCTCGGCATCAAGTTTTATAGTGTGGTTCTATATAAGCAAAACACTATCACATATAACACAAATATAACAGGATGATACATGCTTAGAATGATATCTCACTAAGTAACCTCAGAAGTAACACAAAAAAACATAACAATGACGTTGTAGATCTAAACTTTAATTGTTAAACACCAAAGTGGCCAGTATATTTAGTATCCAAAACGTGTATTTTATCATATTCAAGACTATTCGGATGACTATGACTGAATTCCAATTTTAATGTTTAAATTGAAAATCTAACCTAGTGCTTCTGGCGTTCGGCGAAAACCATTCTATTCAACTATCTACTGTGTTCAGATAATTACTAGCATTTTTAATACCAAATATACCAAAAAATTGTAATATGAAGCTATATAGAGGCAATCCACAAAGAATGAACATATGGGAACAAGGGCTGATCAACTGACCGAATATCAACAACAAGTAATTACAAACCATACTTTTACCAAAAATAAGGGTGACATCTTCATATTTGAAATCATTAGTCAATTAAAACTAGACCACCATGGAAAACCTGGGAGCCCTGGACGGCCGTTTCGTCCTATTGTGGGACTCTTCAGCAGTGCGCGTCCATGGTCCAGCCTTGCTAGACTTGAACCCAGGACCTACCAGTCTCATTTATTTAATTCGAAATAAACCATAATATACTTTGAAATTCTGCGCGATTTAACTGTATATGTATTTTCAAAAGATTATTACTGAGTTTCAGAAGCTAAATCCATTTAAAACACTGTTTAATATTTTTTTTCTTACAGTTCACATAGAGAAGCAGGTTTACTTACTGATTAGGTAGGAACTCTACACCTTACTTTTATTTACGGGTTATTAAGTAACGAACTGAAAAATTAGTATTTCAAATTTTATGAAAGATACCGCTATAATATTAAATTGTATGGTGTTACCTTACTTCTATGATCGTATCGATTAATAGATTTCTGACACAACGAAGCAATCAGTAATTGACAAGTGATAATCGCATGCTATATAAACAACGGATAAGATTAATGTACCCAGGGATATATATATCACTAGTGACGGTCTCCAAGGGGTATCTCCTGTAGTTCTAGTGAGAAGCCGTGATCAGTGGAGTTCAACCGGGTCTATGGTAAGATAGCAACTCACTGAAGACAATGGTGGACGGTGGTGCAGTTTCGCGGATTGATTGAAGCTAGACATTAACACCCTTGGATACCGGTTCAATGGTGTAAAGGATAAGCGTTCGCGTGGGAGACCGATAGGTCCTGGGTTCGGATTCCGCGAGGCCGGATCGTAGATACGCACTGCTGAGTAGTCCCACACTAGAACGAAAAGACCTTTCAGTGTTTCCAGGTTTTCCATGGTGGTCTAGCTTCAATCGACTAATGAATCCAACTACATATATATGGTTCCGTTTAACTAAATAAACATTCTTTATCACCGTGTTTCTTATCGTGTGATCGGGCTCGTGTATAAAAAGAGTGTTTATCAGTCTCAAATCTCAGATGACACATGTTGTAACACGTTTTTCATGCATAAATTTTAGTATGCTTTCAATATAAATATAAATATTAGTCCCTATTAATATATAACATAGTACAGTTATTTGAAAGAATAATATTTTAGACTTCTACTTATATTGAATAATTAGTTTTGAATTAAGATTACCTCTTTATATGCTCTCAACAATGTAGTTTTGACATCACCCATAGCATTATACAATAGTTTGACAAGATCCAACATATATTTAATTGCAATAACTTTTGTAATTCTAGATTCAGCTGCTTGAATGTTGACCGCTTTTTTTAAATAGATCATATCACTTTTTGGTGGACAGTACTTCTCGGAACTGGGTGTTATTAGTGAGGATGATGATCCAGGTAATAAAGTTGAAGATTTTGTAGGCCTCTCAAATAGCAAACCTGTCGATTTGTTTTTTACTGTACTAATTAAAGGTGAATGATTAACGGTATCTTGTGTATAGATTTTAGTTGAACTGCTTAAAACTTCATTCGATTTATTTGATCTAGATGAATCTGTTTTGTTGTTGAATTTCATTGGATTTGATACATTCTGGTTATTAAGGTTAATATGATTATTATTATTATTCCAATTGAACATTAAATTTGATGTAGAACATATTTGAACACACAGTGATAAAAGACTATCAATGTGAGGGAATTGACGTAAGATATTCTGGATAGTGTAAAAAAATATCAGATTTATATTCTATTTTTTTTGTAGTTTAACGGAATAGTAACAATCGAAAATTCAATTGAATATACTTCATACCTGTATGTTAAACAAAGTTTCAGGTGATGATATTAGTTCACGAACAGAAGCTTGTCGATTTAAAATTGTTTCCAAGTCTGTGGAGAAAAAGGTTTAGTTAAATAAATGATTGAGAAACATTTGTACATTCAGTGGAGTTACATAATTTTCTTAATAAATTCGGAAAGACTAAGAGCAATGAGTTGAGTAAATGACATGAATTCGCTTACGACATACAACATTTAAGTCCCAAACGTATTCTCATGACAATTAAAACACTTATTAGTCAACATAACTAAGTACTTTTATAATGTAGTAGAGATTGTAGAAATCCAAATGAAATGAAAAAGTAAACTGACTCCTAAATTAATAGACTGAACTTCGATTTCCTGAAAATAGACGAAGGTGGCCACAAGTGAGTGTGGGAATTGAGATAACTAGTTACATATTTAAGCTAGTGGAAACATAGGATGATGGTAACTACGGTATAAAGTATTCAATATGTAATGTGTTAAGTTCGTTTACTTAAAATCATAAGTTTTATTAAGAATTTTAATCAAGAATGATCTGAACTATTAGGAGCAAAATATGTGTTTCTGAAGTGAAGACAAACCATGAAGCATCATTTTTTAAATTCGTAGGTCAGGCTTTACTAGTTCGACAGCCATGATCTCAGCAAGTTTAATAAAACTTTGGCATGTTTACCAGTAATCCGTTTGAAAGTGCTTATAGACGTCTACCTTCAGCCTTGTACATACCAGATGCTTACCAGTCACACGATGGAACGACTTTATTTACCCAAAACACTGACCTTAAAGAATCCATTTAAAAGATCTGAGAGAGATCATTCCTTTTCTTTTTGCGGCCCAACTTACTTGACACGCTCATAAAATGATATAAAATTTGGCAGTAGCTTAAATAGAATACCTAAGGATGTCTGAATCCATTAATCAATTTGTTAGTATGTACAATGGAATTGATTTGATTACAGAACAGTGTGGAACTAGCGGATAGCTCATGTTTCTGTGGTCTTTTTATCCAATATCATAGTCTTGAAAACTGAGATGAATAAAAACCGGTTTCTTGTTGACTAATATCCGAAAGTTATACATCCTGCAACACATATAAATGATCAATTCAGATAGTTGCTTTTTGATCAGTACACAGCATTAGTCAAACTTATCAATAATAAATATATTTTGCACGTACCGAAACGGAGTTTTAAACGGTGCGTATTTGTAGTTGACTGTCAGTGTATACTATTAAAGTCAACGTATAGTTCGTTCCACAAAAGCTATTGATGAAATACGATGAAAGATTTACGTTACATGGTTTTATAAGGTAAATCTAACTTCTTCAGTTAAACGATATTACAGTCAAATTTAGTATGAATATTATTGGAATTCATAAATAAATATTCACTTCGAATAATTACTTAAACCTTATTAAAGACTTACCACATGGAGGTTCCAACAAGTTGGCTCGTAATAACCGAGCACCACTAGCTGTACTAGTGAAGTCTATTGCTGAATAAAGTGTATCTTTGGCTGTATAGTCATAATTATTTCTAACCAAACGTAAATGATTTGCACTTTTGAAATCTAACAGTAAATCGATTAGAAATCAAAATAGCAACAAAAAAGAGATAATGATTCGTCTTCCAGAAGTATATTGACTCACTAGATTCTTACAACAAAGTTAGTAAAAACATGACGAAAAATACGTACTATGAAGTAAATAATGTCTACAGATTATAGCCAGTTGATTGTCTTTTATGTATGAAGCTGATTACTATTATATATACGTCATACCAACCAGTTACTTGGTAACAATTGGACTGATTACTGGAATATTAAAATAGCAGCCAAATACTTCAAATAAAGTATTAATTATTCACAACCTTCCAGAGCCGTTTATATGTATACTAACTAATTCAAAACGTCCGAATAACACGTTTTATCTCAAGATGAATATTTATGTTGCCATTAGAACATCCATTCTATAAAATAGTTATTTAAATGTCGAAATCAGATCATCTAAAATGAGATCTTGATTAAATCACTAATTACTTTTCCGATATTTAGAAGTTTTATCTTTATGAACCTATCTCTTGAGTGTATAACAAAATAAAAAAGTGAAAACTGTTCAATTCAATAACCTTAACAAGCCTTTTGTACTAATATTTATAATAGATTATCTAGTATCTGATTTCGAGAGAAAATTAGCAAAATTCTAGTGAAAACCTGCAACCAGTGGAGTTTAACCCTGCCCAAAGTGAGAAAGATACCCACTGACGGCATTTGAATGTTTTAAGCAATATTGCGAATTGAATGGAGCTAGAAGTGTAAACCACTGGATACTAACTCAATAGCCCAAATGTATAAGAGCTCATCAACAATCCTGAATGTCTTCAGTCCGATCCTTCGTTTGGTCGCAGACTCATACTACTGATGAATCTTATACTAGAAAGAAGCAGCTATCCACTAAATTTGCTGTGTATTGATTGTCTATTGAAGGTCAGTCTGTGACGTAAACTACATAAAAGTTAAAATTCGCATTTTTATTACAATACGGCAATGGAAAATTAGATAAGTACTTTTGAACCAATGAATGAGTGTTCACAACTAGCAAATATTACTCTTTTCGATCCTATATACAGCTACGTTTATAGAACACAGTATTTTCGATTCTCATTCTATTGTTTCTTTAGTCTCATTTTAAGTACCTTGGTATGTTAATGAATCATAAACGCTGTTGTGACCGGGGGTGTCCGAAATCTGATACTGTTACACGGTGCGCTACGTGCTAACCCCCCCCCAACTGACTATTTCGGTGGAAACACAAGATTGAGCGAGAAAGTGTATTAGGCTACCGGATAAAGTTCACGAATACTCATTCATATGTATACCATTCCAACCCTTAGGAAATTGGTCCATTTCTTAGCCAATGAAATTGCACTTGTCGTTTAGGTCACTTCTGATTACCGTCGATTGACTTTCTGATTGTGCTACTTTTTATCAGCTCTCCATACTACGCAAAATAATTTCAGTCGATATTTCTCGAATGGAACTTATCATTTTGTGCCAAGCTAATGACTAATATAAGGCTAAGTTGATGGATATTTCATACATAAGTTTTAGTGCTCAGTTTCGTAAATCGAGAATACGCAAGTGTACTTATCAGTTTATTAAAATGATTAAAACGTTCTCACAAAATCCATATATCTTAGTTTTTATACATTAGGTGGATGTAGTTGGTAGCAACTCAGTAAACACATTGACAGATAATTATTTTGATTATCAGAGGGGGTTTTGTGGAGATTTAGTATTTTTCATAGTTTTAAAGCATGAGTCAATTGAAGCTAGACCACCATGGAAAACCTGGAAACACTGGACGGCCGTTTCGTCCAGTGTTTCCAGGTTTTCCATGGTGGTCTAGCTTCAATTGACTCATGCTTTAAAACTAAGATAATTATTTTATTGTACGAAATCAATTGAAAAATTGGGTAGTTCTATTTACCAATCATGGTAGATTTAACGGATCCTGTAAATGAGAATTTCATTGATTTGGGAGCATAAATAAGTCCATGCATTTCTTCAGCATAATTAAGTAAAGCAGACAATGCTGAAAGAGCATAAAATCTAAATAAAAATAGAAGCTATAGACAATTAGTATGTTGTATACTGCTGTTACTTACCAATAATCTTCAGTAGTGAATCTCAAACCGATTTAAGTTAGACAACCATAAAAAACCTGGACTAAACTGGATGAACATTTCATCACAGTACGGGACTCCTCAATAGTGAGCACTCATGACCTAGGAACTTGTAATCGAATCCAGGATCTTCGGTTTCTTGGATTAACGTTTATTCTTTAGGCCACTGTAAAGGCATTTAATGGTACATATGTATGAATCCTGATGTTGTAAAAAGAGCAATACAACCAATCCAAAGTGAAAAAGCATTATCTTTTTATTCAACAGACTTATCAGACAATAGTTTCTACTAAATGAATTCGAATCATTAGTTATGTGCAGATTTATGAATTAATTTGTTGATTAAAAACTTCAATTGTCCAAAACATCAGTACTACTAAACAGTTTAAAATGAAATATATCCCATAAGTCCCGGCTCCTTGACTAAGAATTGGGGCACATTGAGATTATTTCCACGAATATTACCATGATAGTTGTACACATTATCGAAAATAGTATCTTCATTTATTTAATTTAGTGATTGCAACATGAAGCATGAGTACAGTTTTAACTGAACAGTTTTAATTTATTTCTTTATATGCTTCCATTATTTGTATAAAGCATGTCGGTCACGGTAAAATCACTTTCTGGAAACTAGAGAGACGGTTAAATAACTCAAGTGTAGAACTGTCGTTACATGTTAAAATGCTTTCGTTTGTTAGTTCTTTATTTAACTGAGTGTTATTTTGAAATAACATTAATAAAAAAACGATTAAAGAAAAAGGGACTCCTGAAAATCTAGAAATTAAAAAGTGTGTCACAGTGAATCCTACTTTATTGAAGGCTTTCTATAAGTTTATTTGATAGATTGATTGTTTATTTAAAGTATTTTCTCAGTTTGTAAAGCATCCTTTTTAATAACTGAAATAGATATTTTAATTTCTGACATTACCATTAGCTTCATAAGCCACTCTATTTACATGAAAAACACAAATATTTCTTCATCTCAATGCTTAATCTGAAAATACGGTAACACAAGCCAATTTGTTTCCATTCTCCTGTTCCAGTTTCAGCCAGAAAAATTGGCCAACTTTTTATTAAATATCCGATTCACTGCTTTGGATGATGTTTGTCTACTTGTGGTGATATATGTGTGGGGGATTTTATGTTATGAAGCACCAAAGAAAAAATTAGTAGGATTGCTAATGTTAGGTGAGAAGTATGTATTCCCAAATCTTCATTTTTACAAGTATTCACTAAACGTACGCCTGAAATTCACAAATCAAATCAGCGTATGGACTCCATAGGATACATACAGGCATGAATGGCTTGATTAATAGGTTAAGATGGCCTATATTCCTGTTTTATATGTTTGCTACATTTTATTGTCAGCATCCCAGCTATAATGGTGTAGGTACATACCACATGAATACCTGTAGTATACGAGTCATGAAATATGCATTCCGGACATACACAT